TAATAATAATAATAATAATAATAATAATAATAATAATAATAATAATAATAATAATAATAATAATATTCTCAAATAATCCACAAATAAATGGGACATTACAACTATATACTATATATACAAAATTAATCTATGTACTTAAATTTGATATTTTAAGCACCAAATTAAATTGGTGAAATTCCCCGTACAAAAGGTTAATTCAAAAATTAATTCTAAGTCAACAGTTTTATAAATCTCGTTATTGAAGGATAAGAATATAATTTGTGCAAAAATAAATGTGATTGCCTAGTGGCAGGATGGTATTGAAGGCAGCCTTGAGGGCTTGAAACGGCCACACCCAGGTTGGATTCCCCTCAAGCGCAAATCTTAAACCATTTTTATTATATGTAAAACGTATTCTCAAAATACATTTTTCAATCATTTAAATGTATTGTTTTTAAACTTAAAATGTATTTTAATAATACGTTTTATCTTTTTTTTTTTAAATAAAATGTATTTTAAAAATACGTTTTAAACTGTAAGTAAAAAAGAAAAAAACTAGTTTTTTCCCTTCTTTAACCAAAAAAACCACCTTCAACCATTTTTCTTATATGTAAAACGTATTATCAGAATACGTTTTCCAATCAATTAAATGTAAAACGTATTCTGCGAATACGTTTTACTCTTTATTTTCTTCTTAAACATAAAACGTATTTCAATAATACGTTTTATTTTTTTTTTTTAGTTTTTTCCATTCTTTAACAAAAAAAAAAACCTGTTTTAAATATTCAAAAGAACCAACTAAACCAAAATTACACTAAAAAATCAACTAATCTACCCTAAATACCATCCAAACAAATCCAAATAAATCATCCAAACAAATTCAAATAAAATGAACCATCCAAACAAATTCAAAAAATTAAACCATCCAAACAAAACAAAATAAACAATCCAACCAAATCCAAATGAACAATCTAAACAAATCCAAATAAACACTAATAAATCTAGTTCCCCCACACATCACGAAGTCTAGACCTATCGGTGCGAGGATGTGAGGACGGACACTCATCCACAACATGCTCTGGATCACCGCATCTAGTACACTGTCCCCTTTTATTTCTGCGGCATGCCCGACGATCCATTTGCATGCGATAGCGCCTCGTTTGCAAGCGACCGGGTCCAGGCTTCAAGATGATCCTCTCTCAATGTGGTATCAAATTCCATTCGACCGGCGCCCATGTATCCAGTTTACCAATTTGAGCAAAACTCCAATTAGTAAATTGAGATACCCAGGTCGCCGTCCAAAATGAAACGACAGATGGCTATTTAATGAGAGCATGGTTTCCTATGCGTCTGCCACTTCCGACAAGTACAACGTTTTCTGTGGTAATCAACGTTATACCTGTATTTCCCCAGTGATTTATATATATACAAAATCAAAAATTTGAATGGACAAAAAAAAAAAAGACCATATACTTACTTGTTTTGTCCTCTTCCACTAGCCTGTAGACCGGTTGTCACCCCGTACATGGAACTGTCGTCGTCCATACATCGCACACAATGAGTTGCGGTTGTCTGCTCCAATTGCACAAATGCGACATAGTGCTACCTAGCAATGAGACTCCTGCATCTCCTGGACTTATTTTGCTCATGTTCAAACAAATCTAGAGTTTTGTCAAATGTGGCGTCTACCAAAGCTCTGCACGGCAGGAACCTAACCCCTTTCAGGACGTTGTTGTAACTCTCCGACATATTCGTTGTCAATGTGCCCCATCTACGTCCTTCATCTCAAAACAGGGTCCACTAGTTCAAAGGAATTTCGAAAAGGTAATTGTGTGCTTCGGGTCAATTCATTGAGTCGCTCTTTTGTCTGTCAAAACTTTTGCTTCGACAACTGCGAACCTAAATCCCAACACCAATTCCGGATTTCCTTACTCTTGAACCTAGTCACCACGTTGCTTCGAAGGTGTCGAAGGCAAATCCGGTGATACGCAACGGGTTCTTGCCAATCTACTAATGATTCAATGGCACTGCGTAGGCCCGTATCCCTGTCGGAAAGAACGCAGATCTATCTGTCGGAGACAACATATAGCCGCGTTCCTAAGGAAAAATGACCAACTGTCCGTGCTTTCTTCATCGACAATCGCATACGCGATTGGCAATAGCCGCTTATTCGCAGTCTGAGCTATGGCCAAAAGCAATTTTCCCTTGTACGATCCACGCAAATGTGTGCCATGGACGCTAATAACCGGCGGGCACATTTGGAAGATTTGAATGGCGGGACCAAACGCCCAGAATACAAATTTGAATTCTCTGTCTGGAACGTCTCGCGCCGTTTCCCCAGCCTGCCATTCCCACTGTACAACTGTGGTGGGATTCGCTCTTTGAAGCGCGACAAAATACCTGCACATTAGAAAACGGTTTCATAAATAGATAAACATAGTGACAGACAAACAACACATATATTTGTAATTACTTATTGCTTACTGAGGGAGTTCTGCAAAGTTCGATTCTCAACTGCCATACACACGATCGATGGATTTGTTCCTTCCGTGCCATGCCTTCTTGTAGCTGAGATCGACTTTCCATCACTGTCTCACATCAGCCTGGATCATGCTAACACTGTACTCCACTTTCTTTTGAATCTTATTAATTACAAGATTTGAAATCATTTGGGCGGTTACATTTCTGTGGTCATTTCTCTCGACCCGTTGCATACAAGTGTGTCTATCAGTCCATTCAGTTAATTCCCACAATTCATGAACCCGTTTGGATTTAGTCACCCGAGCCTTCCACACACAAGGTTAAATTTCATTAGATCTGCAGAGCACTTTGTATGACTTTTTATTTGAATCATTTGTTCGATCTCCCTCAACCTATCAACGTTCCAAGCCAATATACTCGTTTGTGCTTCTTCCTTGCTCCTAAAAACTGTACCCAAACGTATCGTCTCAATGTCACCATTCCAGAGTGGAAGAGCATACTCATTCTCATCTATCCTGGACGGCTGCCATTCACCCATCTCGCGGTATATATGGCGACCCCCACTAGGAAAGGGGTGTTTTTCTTCAATGAACTCGGCTTCACTCTCCTCATTTACCGATCTATCTGATTCGGTTTCTAAGGTCTCGTCTATGAAATCATCTTCACCGGGAATGAAATCTACATCATTTTCTTCCCCGTCCTCATTTGCCAATTCTCTCATTGTTGAGCTTGTCCCTTCTCCAAAATTACGTAGATGAGAAGTCGACGTGCCTTCAACATCAACCACTCTCCCGTAACAAGGAGTAACATCCTCAAACTGTGTAACCGGTGTAACTACCTCCAACGATAAATGCGAATACACAATGAACATAGGAGGAAAGTAATAAATCCATTGAAGAACACTATCGTTATTGAGTATTGCGGTATTCCACGAACCATCGGTAGGCTAACCATTAAAGTAATCTCCTGAATTGTCCAACCTTCTCCAAACCGATAATTTTCATTAATCATCTGTACCAATTGTTCATATAATATCCTCTCCGAAATAACAAATGAACCATTCGGACAATACATAAATGAAACAAAATTGCGCAACATTTCCTTCCCACATTGCCTGTACAATTTAACAAGGTATAGACCGTCATACGCCATTTATACCTGTTGCAAAAAAACACTTCCCATTCTTCCATACAACAACACATAATGTCTAATCCAACATCCAAAAAATTCAATTATTCTTTTTTTACTCCAACGAAAAAACCAAAATAAATATTCCCAATCAAATATTCCTCCAAAACCCTAATATCCATAGTCCAACAATAACATAAAATTCGTCTATATTTCGGATAAATTGTAACCCTTAATTCTAACCCTAATTTCGAAAATCCCCAAGCCCAACAATAATTAATCAATAGACAATTGACAATTTACAACAAAATTCCAATCTCCAATTCAACACACACATAATCGATAAGCAATTAACAATTCTAAATCTTCAAACAACAACATTCAAACATACTATAGCAATTCCCAATCTCCAAACAACTCCAAACGATGTCAAAAGTTGAGATAAGTCAATATACCTCGTGTGAATGAATTAACCGGAAATGAGGCTCGTGTCGCTGTTGTCGGTTCGCACCGGGGTGGGGATGGGATCGCATTTTTTTTTCCCGAATGAAACTCGCTCGCTCAAAATGAATTTTGCTCACTGCTGCACTTCTGTTGCGTAAATGTAATGGAGAAGAAGAGATTTTTTTTCATATTTAATTATAAAAAGTATTCTCAGAATACGTTTTACTTTTATTTAATTGTAAAACGTATTCTCAGAATACGTTTTATAAAAATTATATTTTTATTAAAACGCATGTTTTAATGAAATCGCATTTTTAATTGAATACGTTTTCTTAATTTTTTTTAAATTAAATCGTATTTTGAAAATACGTTTTTAAAAACCCTAAAAATCAATTTTAGGGTTTTGAAAAAAGTATTTATATAATACGTTTTATAATTGATTTTCTTTTTTTTTTTAAATTAAATTATAGAAATAGAAATCGTATTTCATAAATATGTTTTACAAACCGTAAAAATCAATTTTAGGGTTTTAAACAACGTATTCGTATAATACGTTTTATAATTATTATTTTTTATTCAATTCGTCTTTTATAACGGAAATAATTTTGTTTTGAAATTTTACAAAAATAATTTTAAACATATTACGGAAATATGTTTTCCCAAAAAAATTTTATTAGAAGAACGTATTCCGAGAATACGTCATTTTTATTTNAAGTCACCTTTGTAATAATTGAGGGTAATTGTTTCTAGTCTAACTATTGAAAATTTGCTGAAGATAATTTAGATAGATCGATGTTTATTCCATCATTTTTTTCCCCCAAAAGTCACCTTTGTAATAATTGAGGGTAATTGTTTCTAGTCTATCTATTGGAAATTTGCTGAAGATTTCTTAACTGGTAAATATTCTATGCAGGCACCATGTAACTTCCTTCAAGATTGTATCTGATAAAAAAAAAATCTCTAAACGTTGATTGAATAATTAGAGCGCGATTCAATTGATAAATTCTTTTGGTCATTCATAATTCAAACTTCAATTCAAATTTAATACAATTCCAACTCTCATTAATAATACAAATATAATTAAATAATACTAATTTATATTCAATCACACCCTTGGGAGGTGATTAGATATAAGTTATTTGATTTTGATTGGATTTATTGGTTAAAATTAAATGAGTTAACTTTGAATAAAGTTAATTGAATTAGATTTGATTGTGGTTTTGGTTTTTTTTATTAAAATACTATTTAAACTATAATGATTAAAATTGATTTGATGTAAAAGTAGGATAGGTGTAATTTGAAGTGATGATTAATTAAAATTATATGAGTGAATGAATAACGAATTAAAATTGATGTGATGTGAAGTCCATTGATTGTTATTATTTAATTATATTGTTAAAATTAAATGAGGCTAGGTTAAGTTCGATTTTGAATGAAAAAAAATTATATAATCAAATGTCACCAAAAATTATATATCCAGTGAATCAGGGCCTTAGAATTAGGGTGAGCATGGGTCGATTGCCACGGTTCAAAGATTGACAAATCTCCAAAACCGTATCGATATTCGGATATCATTAAAATTCAATCTCCGGATCCGCACCAAAAATTCGGTTCAGTTTGGTATTTGTGACTATGTGAATGGTTCTGTTCGGTTCGGATATTCGGAGATTTTTAATTATTTTTTAAAAAAATTTGAATGACCACCTCGTTATATTTTATTTTTTATATGTTTATTTTTTAAATCCAACATTCATCAATACTTCATCATACTAAAGATTTTGGCAAATTTAAACCTTTACCTTTACCTTTTGTAAAGGGTTAATTGCTATTTAAACCTTTACCTTTCAGCTTTTGGCAATTTAATCCAAACTTTTGGATAATTGCAATATAATCCTAACTTTGACTTACTTTTGCAAAATGAACTTAATTTTCGCCGGAGGTTCAAAAAATGCCAGTGTGTCCGATTGTTTATATCCACATTGGATTTTCAGTTTGCTGAGTGGCAACACATAAAATACGTGGAATTTGGCAAATTTAAGATTTAATTGTACAGTCATCCCCAAAATTAAACCTCATAATTGTACCCAAAAAAAAAAAACCTGATAAAAAATTTCCCAAATTCTTAGAACCCTACATCTCCACCTTGACAATCATGCCGCCAGTATTCCGGCCACCACCGGTGACTCCAATGTCAAATGTTGGGAAAAGCTTCTTTACCTCTAACTCCACTAAAACACTCTACAGAAACCCTAATTTCAATTCAATGCCAATCTCCACCATCACGCAATGCCTCTCTTCGATGGGCATCAACCTCGCCGCCGCCTGTCAGATTATCGATATGTAACCTCAGCTCTTCATCGTCGACCCCTACAGAGGCGTTTACCGAATATTCAATTTCCTATGAAGCTCGAAAATTCATAATTCAGGGACCTAGAACTCAGTTCGGGCCTAAAGGCCCGATTGAGGCCCACATTGGAGTTTCTGGTTGAATTCGGCTTCTTCGGCCCAATTCGTTGATACCAAAGGTTGAGTTTTTGGTTGGGATAGGGTTCGAACAGTATGACGTCATACACAAATGGCGCTGGGGTCACTGGGATTGCAATCCAAACAGAAAGGGATGGGGCTGGGGACGAATGCCCGACCGACGGCGAATTTAGTGGTGCAGTAGGTAAGGATGGTCGCACCGGAATCTCCCACCCTTGCAGCGCCGGCGAGGAGGAGCTTTTGGCCGGGGAAGGTAAACTGGACTGTCGTGAAGGTTTTGGGAGGTGGAGTTCTTTTTTGCCTTTTTTTTATTTTGTTTTGTTAAATTGATGATTATGATAAGTGTATGATTTAATTTGGGGAAAATTTTTATAAGCTCTAATTTGTTGATTGGTTTAATCTAGGGCATTTTCAGAATTCTAATTGAGGTGGATTTTTTTATTTTTTATTCCTAACTTGTTAATGCCACATATGAGCCATGTCATCGCCATATAAGTTTTCAGTCATAAAAATTTGCCACTCAGCAAACTGATTTCCAACGTGGATATATTCTGCCTGACACGCTGGAATTTTTTGAACCTCCAATGAAAATTAAGTTCGTTTTGCAAAAGTAAGTCAAAGTTAGGATTATATTGCAATTATCTAAAAGTTTGGATTAAATTGCCAAAAGCTGAAAGGTAAAGGTTTAAATAGCAATTAACCCTATTTTTAAATCAATTTTAGTTCACTCTATATTTGTGCAACTAATATTAAAAATTTTATAATTCAAACAAAATATAATATAGTTTTTTATTAAAATAATATTTCTTTACCCTTCCGTACCATGTTAGTTATAAGATAGCATAAGAATAAGTATCGAAAAATTTATGTAAAATCTAAATAGTTTTATAAAAAATATTTCTTTAACCTTTCATTCCATTTTAAATATTTTTTTTGAAACATTCAATTGTTGATCAAATATTACTACGCGTGAATTTAAGTGGAGCTTCATTGTTATTACTATATTTTATTTGTATTTTAAAAATTTTCAAATTATATAGGATCAAAGTTGACATAAAATATATCAATAACACATCTATTTTTATAATTCGGTTCTTAATTTCAGTTCTTCGGTTCGGTACGGTATGAGACGGTTCGGTCCGGTTCTCGGTATGGATATTTGTGAAATCTCCAGAACCGTACCAATTATTTTTTCGGTTAGGAGAAAGTCAAACGGTCAACGATTATTTTTCGGTTCAGAGTGATTTCGGTTCGGTTTTCGGAACTGTAGCGCCCCGTTTATTTGTGGATTATTTGAGAATATTAATATTATTTTTATTATTATTATTATTATTGTTATAATTATTTTGTGATAATATTTATATTTATTTTTCTTGAATGCTATAATATTATTTATTGCCTAAATGTGATTAAATGCTAATTGTCTAAATGCCTAAATGATTTATTTTATTTATAAATGTGTATAATGGGTATTAGTAAATATGTAATATATATATATATTGTTCGGTTTATTTTTACCGCGCGTTTGAATTCGTATTCGAGCCCGAGAATTTTCGTTGGAACCAAAATTGGGCCCGAGAATGTCCGTTTGAATTTAACCGAGCCCGTGAGCCGATTTATTGTCGCGAACCGGCCCAACAAACCGACCCGGCTGGCCCAAGCCCGAGTTTTTCCCCTTTGTTTCACGTTGTGAATGATTTTCTTGGGCATAAAGACTTATTCCCTAAACCTAAGTGTACGTATATAGGTATATGTTCACCTCGGTTCTCTTGGCAGAAATCCCAAACGCCCGCAGTCGATCTCTTTTCCCTTTTCTCTTGCGCAGACATCCCTCGTCATCTCTCTCTCATCGATCGCGACTTTTAGATCGTCCTTCTCCCATCATCGCCGCCCCTTCATCGTAGTGAACCTCTGTCATCGCCAACGTCCTCCTCTGCAACTTCTCCACGCAGGCGAGCAGCAACTCGCGGCCAACCTCCGACGACCACCGAGCGCCGCTGCACCTTGGACATCCGCGAGCAACACGCCAGCCCGATTCCCGACGAGCCATCCTTGCCGCGCCGTGTCATCGCTCAACCTCCACGCACAGACTTTCCGGCGACCTCTTCGTTCAGTCTCGACGAGCAGCAACTCCGGTAGTGACCTAGCAGCAGCCCCTCAGCGACGAGCAGCACCTCAGCGACGAGCAGCCCTTCCCTCGCGAGACGACGCGTGCCGTCGAGCATTAGCTTCGTGTTCGCCTCTTTGTGTTTGTTCCGTTTTTCCGAATTCCCGAGAACGGTACCTAGTCGATTCCGTCTCGTTTAAATCGTTTATGTTATTTATGAATATGTGTGATTTACGATTTGATATGCGAGATGTGATTATTTGTGCGATAATGTGTTCGATTCGAGCTATGTGATAATTGTGATTTTATGTGTGTCGTGTAAGTGTTCGAGGATCTCTTCAATTATGAGAAATTGAACGAGACCTCGAAAGTCGTGTAAGTCGGTGGATAATGGAACAATGTCGAGTCCTTGGTCTTATGAAAAGGCCTCGGATGATAAATTTCATGTTGTGATTTAATGTCCAAGTTGTCGAGCTTGTTAATCACTGTTTTGATGTTCGAATTTTTAAAAATATCTCGCTGCTCGAAACGATGTGAAATTTTGAGGGATGTGTTATCTGTTCATTGTCTGCCTTGTGTAAAATTTTCGTAATTTTTGGAGGCCTGTAGCTGTTTTTAATAATTAAATTGTAATCTGTCCAGAATATTGTTAAATGCATAAAAAATTCATGCCTAACTGAAATGAGCTGAAATTCGAATATGTCGTGCCTCTGTGACTTATATGTGTTCTGTTAAATTTTTAGAATTTTTGGAGTTGATTTGATGTGGTAAATATTTTATTTATCGTATCTGCAGAAATATTGTTTGAATTTTTATAAATTGGTTACCGCATGAAAAATTCTGAAATTTTACCGAGAGGCCTATTTTGTGTGTTTAATCATGTTTGTAAAATATGGGAATTTTTGGAGTCCGTTTTGATTCAGTTTGGGTTTAAATTCGATAAACTGCTGTTGCTCGTTTGAATTTTTAAAAATAGCAGCAGTTACCATTTAAGGCTGAGATTTTTACACCTGGACTTTGGCATACCGTATGTTCTTGTGTAAAATTTTCAAGATCAGATTCATTCATTAAGTCTGAGTATGAATTAATGTGCCTATTTTGTTGATATCTTGTTCGAATTTTATAAATTAATGTGCTTTGAGTTTAAAGCTGAAAATATATGGTTTTACTTATTACTGGAAGATGTAATTTTGTGTAAAATTTCAAGGCATAAGTCGTAGGGCAGCCTGGTCAATGAATTTCATGTGATTAATAGCTAGAAATTCTGAACTAAGATTTTAAAGTTAAATCTGTAATTGACTTGCTTTTCGTTCTGTTGTGAGTTTGACTTGGTCTATCATTAGATGGAATTATTTGAACTCCCTTATGTGGTTTGGTCGAGTTTAGTATTGAGTCTTAGTGTTCCAACATCCACAGGACTTCACGAACTACTTAGTCGAAACAAGTTCGACTAGGTCTGTTTTGTGTTTTTCGTTTAAAGTCAAGATAGATGTTGATTGTAGCATCTTGACTCAATGTAGGTAATTGAGGAGTCCAGCCTCGACCTACTTCCAATTGCTTTGAGTTATTATCAATCCGGAATCCAGGTGGGTTATTCTAAAATTATCTATGCATATGAATGATTTAAATTGTGATGAAAGTTTGGTGTGATCTATGTATGAAAATGAACATGTAGCCTATCGATGTGAGCTTGATGGCCGTCGATACGGTTGTCCCCGTATGATAAGATACGGTTACCCTGTGAGGTAAATCTCATAAGACCTATGAGAAGGCCGTGTCATTGATGTGGCACGCACTCCCATGTTTCACTGATATGGCATGGCTTAGCTTTGATGAGCATAGATGTACATGAGTGAGTCTTTGATGAGACTATAGTCATTGATGTGGCTAGAGATGTGACATGATTTTATTGTTTATGTTCATGCTGCGACCATACCATTATTATGTTATTCATATGCATAGTGTGAGTACGATAGTTAACTGTACTCACTCCCACCTGCTCGTAACTGATGCAGGTTAAGCAGTCGGCGGGTGACGAGACAAGACGGGTGGTGGTCATGCTTTTATTTGTCGCTTATTTATTTGCTTCCGCTCATTTATGTTGAGATATTATAACTGTGTCGTTTTGAACTTAGAATTGTGAATTATCTTTATGATTCGGAACTTAATGAATGCCAGTTTGGTTTATGATTTATTATTCGTGCATGTTGTCTTTATTTGATACGTTTGCATTTTTGGTTAAAGGCTTTTGGTAAAATTTGAGTAGCGCCTACTGAGTATTAATTAAATTAAAGTTTGCGAAAAATTTATTGTGATTTTTATTAAATAAATTCGATAAATCCTTTAAAATAAAGTGGGGCGTTACAGGAACGGTTCGAAATTCTCCGAGTCCCATGCTCAGCCCTACTTAGAATCTGTACAATAATAAGTATTGACATACATGTGTTAAGGTGAATTAATAGTTTTTGTAATGTACACCCACCGAGTTTATATAACTATATTACAAATATCAAATTTCTTTTACAGTCCAATATACACATTCACTTTCTTTTACATATTTTGCCATAAAAAAATTTCCTTTTTACCCCACAACTCATGAAACTACATGCGATATAAAATCGTCTATCCAACTGAGCATAATTAACAATTATGTGAGATTGTATCGTATATATACTAAGACATATCTAAATCAGATGTATAGTTAACAATACGAAATACATTCACATATTTATTAATCGCATATCCAAATCCACCACATAATTTTTGTTATGCGAATTTATTTCGCATATATAGTTATCCATATCCGAATTGATACTAGCATATTTATGATTACGTCTCGCATATCTCAATCGGACGCATAGTTAACAAGTATGCGAAACACATTACACGTATTATGTAATCGCGTATCCAAATTGAACGTCGCGTATTTTATGATTATGCGACACATTGTCACATTTTTTACGACTCACACATCCAAATCCACCACATAATTTACCATATGATAACATTTCGTATATTCATTAATCGCATATCCAAATCGAACGTCGCACAATTTATATTATGCGACATATTTTTGCATAGTTAACAAATCGTATATCCAACTTGGTATGTAAATGACCTTTGCTGGCTGGATTCGAGCTGATCTACCTCATTCGCCGCTGGATGACCTTCAATACGTGCAAAAACTTGACGTTAGAGGGGTTTTTCATCGTAGAACCTCTGATGCTTAAGTCAGAGATGTGGAGAAGACAATGAACATCAAATAGTGTTGTAAGTACCCCACTCTTTTATGTCGGGAGATGATACCTTGTTGACTAAGACTGCTCGAGTGGATTTCTAAGTCTTGCCCAATTGCTTGTTTGTACTATCCGAACTGTCCGAACTACTCTGTTAGTGTTGTCAGTATTTTTACCGGAGTAGAATCGAAAGATTCGTTCCCCGGGTTGTATCTCAAGGAAGGTTAGCCGGATATTCTTGTGCGTTTATTCAATCTCGAAAAAGAGAAGACAAATTCCTAAACACTCTAATTCAATATTTTTGGGTTTCAATTATCAACTAATGATTTAAACTAAATAAAATGATAGTAAAATGGCAAATAAATTCACTGAATGATTAAAGAGCTAGGGAATCGGGGATAATTGTTTTCGGTTCTAACATAATCACCGGCAATCAATTGCTCGGTTAAAGGACTTGAATCGTTTCTCGTTCAGAGGTTCACTCTCACAAACTCTTCGTAACAAAAGAGTGAATGTAAACAATCAACTATCAATTCCAGCAACACATAGACAATACCATGACGAACAAGTCTATTCTAAACGAGCATAAATCGACTAACGTCTCCCCTCTCGGTTCTATATGTTGATTAACTAGGTTAGAAAGGTGATCAATCTGCTAACCCTATAATTCACACAACTCGAATAGATATGAACAATCAAAAGCATTCAATTATAGACGAACCTAATCAATCATCCCCTATCCCTAGCGAATGGATTTAGCTACTCATAACGAATTTAACATCACAATTCATATCAACCCAAGCCATCATCATCAACATAGCAATTGAGAAAAAGAACTTATGATTAATCGAGAGTACTCCTTTTCCTCGCGCCACACCGAGTCTTGCCTCGTGCCGCCCCGAGCCATCAGTGCCCGCGACTCGCGAAACCGCCAGCGACCTCGAGAGTATCTTAGTAAATGTGCATGTTTTTAGTGTGTGTTTGAGGTGTAGCTATAAAAAGACATTGTGCTTTGTATTTTTGGACACAACCCTCATTTCCCAACTTTTAAGTTGGGAAATCCTCTCCATTTTCTCTCTTCTCTCTCTTTTTTTTTTTTTTTCTTTGGTTGGGAGGTCCATGACTCAATTTTCCAGCGAAATTCCGGCAAGCTTATTTTTATCCAAGTTTCGAGCTTTATTCACTATTTTCGTTCAAGCATGCGATAGGAGAGTAAGTACCTTGCTTAGTACTTACTACTTCAAGTTTGATTGTCGAATTGTGTGTATGCTCGTTTCTAGGGTTTTGCTTTATTTTTATTGCTTGCTTACGTGTGTTAGGAATCAATACGTGCTTATCTTGTGTAGAGATCTCGACTTTGCTTAAAGCGTGATGATCTAGTGTAGAAAGCTCGTGTTAGATTACCTAGGATCACTATGCTCGCATGTTTTCTCTTTGTCTATTTTCTTTTTCTTGAGTCGTGTAGATTCCGGTAGACCAAAGTTTCGATTTTTCTCTCTAGATTTGCATTTTTCATCATTTGCTCTAGATTCTTAGTTTAATTGCGTGCAAATCACCCACAATCAAGCGAGTAGAATGTTTAGGACCTTCTTTTTGGTTATGTGACTTTGACGACTAGGTAGTAAACGAAGCTCCGAACAGCCTTCCTTTGAGAACGACCCGAGTCGGGTAGCTCGGTTACCACATGCCCAAAAATACTACAAACAAAATGGCGCTGTTGCCGGGG